ATATCCATATGGAAAACATATACACACTGATAGATCTCTCTCAGCTCTCTCCACCGGAAAATCTTCGATGACATCATATTCACGTTACTCTACCGAATTTCACATCAATCAGCGCAATCTTGTTTTCTGTCGGTCTTGGGTATTCATGGTGAAACGAATACAGACGGTGGCGCTGATTGTGATACCGCTAACTCTCTCAACAATTTTTACAGAAGTGTGACGTCATAGCAGATTTCTTAATTGCCTGTGTAATATACATATGCAAAGAATATATACTGACAGATCTCTCTCAGCTCTCTGCTGTGACGTCATATTCACGTTACTCTCCCGAATTTCACATCGATCAGCGCAATCTTTTATTCTATCGGTCTTGATTCATATATATGGTATTTACAACGAAATTATAGCTTAATTTCTTTTCAGGTTCAAATAATCGACGGCGGCGAAGGTAAATGCAAATCCATTTTAAGGCAGCACCCGAGCATCTCAATCGTGGTGGATTTTTGCATGGAGGTTTTACAGCTACTATCGTTGATATTGTGACCACATACGCCCTAATGTCGCAACCTTGTCAACCTGGTGTATCGGTTGATTTACATGTTACTTACTTAAAAGCTGCTAAAGAAGGTGATGACATCTTTGTTGCTGCTAATACTCTTCGAACGGGGAAAAAATTGGCATTTATCGAATGCGTTTTGCAGAAACATGATGGGACTATTATCGTAAAAGGATGCCAAACGAAATTCATAGACCTATAACGTTTACGTAATTAACAGTACATACAGATCTAAAATTGAGTAGCAAATTTTTTTGATCAATATCAATGATTTTCTTGTAGTTTTATTGAAGCCATATGAAACAAACCTTCCTTACAGACTATAGACAAAAATTAGGTACTTAAACGATTAATGTAAAACAAAAAGCAGTCTGCAATTTAGAGATCAAAGAGATAATAAATAAAGAAAAATCAAGTTGATAGAATTCGAGATTGTCTTAAAGTCATTTAAAGCTCTTGAAATAGGAGCATTTCTTGCATACTCCGTTTTACAATTTCCCCCATAAAAAGGAAGAGGTTTGTAAAGATTCTTTCGAGGAACATTGAAGTTGACCTGCTCTAGAAGAGTAGGACAAGCGATAACATCATTTATTAACACCCTTATTCTAGAACGCTAATTTTCGTTCCACACGCTGCAATCCTTGCGGAAACATTTGCGGAATTGCATTTTATAACCCTTACTAAGTAGAATTCTCCTTTCTGTGTTGCTGGAGAAGAGGGGATTTCGCGTGTCAAAGGTATAGAACATTACTAGTGCATATAACTCCAGATACGTCATCCACGGTATTTTTGCAGAGAACCCACATCAAAATTTACAAAAAAGTCCATAGTGTAAACCGATTTTATTAATACTTTACTACTCGGAAATTGGAATCATATCTTTCAAATAAAAGGTAAATCCTTTCATTATACGTGTACGTTAAAGTTTTTGGA